TACGATTCCTTGGCCTGACGTTGATGCCTAAATTCCTTAATTTCTTATCGTGTCGGGATCTATGAATCTTATCCATCCTATTCCCCAAACCGTCCGCCATTTTCTGCAATTTAATAAAGTTTTATTTAGAAAATATCCGAAAAAGGGATAGTATAGTCCTTGTTTTGGTTCTAATCAAGTCATGTAATTTGTCTATGCTTTCTTTAAGTCTAATCTTAACCAAACCACCTGATACATGCTTCAGTTTCCTATTAGTGGAAATAGGTAAATCTGGACGTCTACTACGAATACAACATTTAGGAACTACATTATGTGAAATACAAATTTTTAAAAATCTTATAGTATTGACTTGCTGGGATATAGATTTCTTGATTTTCGTATAACCAGAAGAAAGTTGATAAGAATTTATATCATACGTACGTAATATATGCGAAGAAAAATTGGGTTTCGAGGACTCTCTTGTTTCATAATTGTTGAGCTTACTTCCGTTTCGAGTGAAAGTGTTGGGTAAAGAGATTGCCTCGGAAACAGCGTCAGCATGAATCTTCCAGTAAAGCCAATCGACAGCTGGCCAAGAGGAATCCGCCGTCGTCTTCTGGTGGAACCAACCTTCGAATCTCTTCACCCAACACTTTCGCTCGAAATGGAAGTAAGCTCAACAATTATTTATCGTAGTCAACAGAATTTTTAATCATCCGAATATCTTCGCACTTTTTGACTCTGTTCACATAAGGGCAAATATATCCACTTTCAGTTTCTCCCTCATGCCTGATTTTATTTTTATACTGCCCGTTGTGCTATCTGTTTTATTCAACCCTTATATTTCTTTGCGTGATTTAAATGGAGTTTTGTTAATGAGGTACATCCGAGTTAGTTTGTTCACTCCTTTTTCTCAGAAATCCAGGTTCGTGGGTATGATAATCATACCCCTTATTATTTCTGATCATCAGTCTGTAGTTTTGATATTATTGCGAGTTTAAGATTATACGTCCATGCGACTTCTATATGAATAGTCTTCGTCTGGTTATCTCGTTGGGGCAGCCGATTTCGACATTTAGAACTGGTAGCCGTTCATCCTCCATCTCCACCTTGAATTAAATTATTTCATCATATTCGTTCACAAACTCCAGAAATTCGTCTTAAATTTACCGAAATGCAAAGTATTCATCCTACCTTCGTATGTTTTGAAACTACCAGCAGATCTTATATATGAAAAGTATTCACCCTATTTCGTTCAAGGTGATGAAGGCTGGTTGTCGAATTTTTTCACGATGCTCTGACTAGGCCTTATGTTTCCATTCAATTTCACATAATCATGCATCATAAAAGTTGTTCTCATTCAGGGTAGACTTCAGTTTCTTCTCGTCAACACCCCTTGTAAGACTTGAACCCGGATAGCACACATAAATATAATATGGAAAGGGCCTAGCTTTCCTTAACATTTAGTTCTTCCTTACGACTCAAATGCATTCATGGAGTACTCATTACCCTGGTTCGAGTCCTTCTGGGGGTGCCAAGAGACTCAGATAAAAATAGAGGTCACATCAACCTGTTCATCATACTTTTACCGTGATTAAATTTAAATATTCCTTTGTGATTTAACTTACTTATATTACTTAATTTTAAATAGTAGCATCTGATATTACGATCTTCTTTCGAGCACTAATGAAATTTGCTTTTGCCATTTTAATCTTAAAAATTTACTTTAAAACGCTCGGAATTGATGGATTATATTTTGCTAGCTAGAGTAAAACGTTCTCTAATTACATATAATGCCATCCCATAACATTTGGTGCCACCAAAACAGTCGGCCTAAAACATTTTCCGTGTAAAAGTATGTGGCAGATGTTTGAGATTTGCCAAATATAATGACGCTCACTTGGTTGAGTAAAAAAGCAAGTCGAATACAATTCACCATTAAATTCTAGGATTTTTTTATTAGAAAGTGACTTTGCCCCTAGATTCCTTCGTTTACTGAAATGTGAGTTTGCATCGTCTAGCTTGCCTTGAAAGTCACCTTTGTTGTGACCTACATCATCGATGTAGTAGTTAAATGGCGCCAATTTACGCCCACCTGGTTTTGAGTCCTATCGGAGTGCTGATGTGAACCAGGCAAGGTTAAAACTACAGGCAACCCTAAGATATGCGGATTAAGTTACTTTCACTGGCATCGAGAGGCCTTCTCATTTCTCAATGGCGAAATACAAATATCAGTCCATGCATCACTTTAAAATACCTAGGGTAAATACATTTCCTATTAAGATACATTAATATGCTCGAAACATTAATCAAGTTTCTATCAACGTATCTTCTACAAATGGACCGATGATCACTAAATATATATGGTTTTATTAGCCAATACGACTGTTATACTTATTATCCTAAACGACCCAGCTCAGCATAATTTCGATATTTTGTTTATCTTGGCTATTTTTTGCGGCTAGTATTACTCATATAATCAATTCGTGTGGCTGATGTCTACACATTTACAGGTATAATCTCGTCTTATGAAAAGAAATTGGTATTAGCCGGAATAGCTTAATTTACAATTTGAATTGTCTGGTCCAGCTATTTATGAGTTTAATACCTATCTTATCTAAATAATAAATCACCTTAACGGTTTGCATAACCAGTTAACTACGATGTTGTTCGTTTTTAATCGTATCCCAAGCTTCTTATATTCTTACATTTCCGTCTCCCCTGCTGTAATATGACCTTTTTCTACTCCGACGGGCTTTTATTCTTTAATGAACAAAATAAAACGTACTTAAAAACAAAATTGCCGTCAGCATTGCAACTTTATATTCGCGTGAACCCTTATGATTTGCTACCGATATTCAAATGGTCTATCATTTTAATTTTATATTTCCTTTTAGTCTTTTGGCATCTACTCCCTATCAAAATACCTTGCTCATCTATTTTTCATCCTTTTACGTTTGATTTTCATAAACTTTCTCTATATTTGTATAACATGCGTATCTCATAGACGAACAGACTATCAGTAATCGCCAGGAATCAACAAGTGTAGATGACGGCCCTTCTCTCGACGAAGACGCATCTGCAAGACATGCTAGTTTGACTTCTTCAATTAACACTACTAGGCCTGATTTTACTAGTATTTCCGGAGCGCAAACCGCAGCTGTGTATTCAGCCGCTTTTCATTCGTATGAGCAGCATCAGAATATACACCAGCATCAACACCAACGACACCAACAACCACAACAGCTACAGCAACACCAACTTGCACCTCAGGTTCAATATGGCCACCCATCTCAACCCTATCCCCAGAATCAAACTCAACATCAACATCAACGGCAGCAGCATGAACACATCCCCACTTATCAGCCTCAACACCGGCATCAACGCTCCTTACCTCATGATGCCCTGTTGCTACCCTTGTCGGCTAGTTTTACGTCAGACCTCCACCTAGGCCAATATCAGCAACACCAACATCAGCAACAGCACCAACGGATTCAGGCCCCCTTCTTCGTGCCACACCCTTTCGCCTATGCTTACCAAACAGAAGTGAGTTATGTATGTTTCTATCTGCCTATTCAAGTGTCCATGTACATTTTTTGTGCACACTTGAAGTCATCAAAAGTATGGATGGTGCTCAGATAACCTATTGTCGGTAACCATTTTTTTTTAGATTGGAGCAAACTTTTTAATAAGAACACGAATCAAGATGATAGGGAAACTGATGTTTGAATTTCCCGCAATAAAATAAGTGGAACGTACAATGCCTTACAAGCCTTGCCTCCCAGACGGCTTTTTATCCAGAGTAGACTGCACTTTCGACTGCTGGCTCTTATCATCATCCTAATTGGATTAGGAATCAGGTCATGCGCGTAGAGTGACAATACGCTATCACTTCACCACACAGTCATGAGTAACATTGGGCGCCTGGACAGATGTGACTTTTAAAGCAAGCGATGCTTCTCACAATTGTTATTTTCATTCATATTTAAGTACTTAAAAATAAATGATAACGATTTAAATACAAAGTATGTATGCTTGATCGACAATCCCAAGCTAAAGTCTGAATAGAGTGAGATCTGACTTGTCTTGGAAATTATATTTCTTTTTTATCTGACCCAGTGGCATGCGTGGCTGTGGCGGAATGGTTATGCTTTGTCACTATAGGTTCGACCCATTTCCTGGTCCCTTTGAGAGACCTGATGGGACTCATACAAGCTTTAGAACGTCGTAGATATGAAGACCTTGATGATTTGGCCTTCTGTTTGGTTGCAGTCTTATTTAGTCTTAAAGGATTGGTTGGAACTTGTTTTGGCAACTTGATCGGAGTGTCAGGGAGACGTTGTGGAACATACCTAGTCCTGTGTCCTCTGCCATACTATTCGTGATTTCCAGCATCGGACCATTGATTTGGTACATTTCCAAACGTTTTTTTCGCATCGATAGTGAGAGGTGCCATCGCTAGCACAGGCTTACAACTTATCAAAGGGACAATTTTCTGTTGATGTAGAAAAACTGGGTTTCTGTTCAATGGTTCTTCAATGGTTGGTTCAATGGTTCGACCAAATGTGTGCTAAACAGTTGTGGTATCTTCCCTTCTGCCCTGGTCTATTCACATTTCCTTTCTCCTCCTATCACTGTTACAATTTTTTCCGTGCTTATTTCGATGTAGTGTAGTGTGCTCCTTTGAGCGGCATTCATGAAAACCCTTCACACTCCACGTTGTCGTTCTCATCCCCTTCACACTTGTGCTGAGAATGTTGATCAGTTTGTCATATTGTTACGCAGTCCTCCTTCCATAGGTATTATCATAGTCTCTCTCTTGCTCCGTAAAATTCGTCTGCTCTCTCCCTGGTTCACGTATTTCGCTCGACCCCTGCCACCCCATCTGTGCTACTTGAGACGTTATTCGCTCTCCACTGCGTCCGGGTGACTAATTCGAGACTAAAGCCTCTGAATAAGTCTCATCGTCAAGCCCTTACTACATGGACCACTTCTCTGGTACAACAGACCTACTCTCAGCCAACTACATCCAGTCTCAGTCCCATCTATCCTGTTTCTATCCGTTATACCAAGTCTATGCCTTGCTATGCCTTAGTCTCTTGGGTGCTAGCCCAAAAATGTTGTGGTACTGCTTTGATTAGGTTCAATGTTGAATCACAACGTTTGTGAGTTGGCACACATTATCTTGGCAAACTTGCATCTTCTAGCCAATTGCAATTCAATATTAGATTCATTTGTTTTGAAATTCCTATATGAGCCTAAGACTATAACATTTGAATATGAAGAAGGAAAGTCCTAATATTCTTTATTTGATAGAAATGAATTTCTCTATATATATTCGAGCATAAATTTCCTATTTCTTGAGGGGTTACCCGTCCTTTAGGAAAATTTACAGAAAGGCAACCTCAGAAATGCGGAAGAGTTAATTAACTCCCTGTCTTTCCTTAAATATCTAATTTAACCTATCATATTTGTTGAAAATGAATAACGTTAGATAATTCCTTTGAACCCTATTTATATACGAGAAACAGTGATTTTGATGTGTAGCAGTGATCAATTGGCAAGCAGGGTAGAAGAAGAGAGGCTGAATGAAGGTCAGGAGCCCTTTAGAGGGCACCTGGAACCGATGGTGAAGATGATTTTGCTTCACTAATCTTACTTGTAGCGGTACACTTAGGCAAAATTTGAAGAAAGGAGATCACAGAAGTGTGTAAATAGACAGATGGGCAGAAGTGGGGTTGAAAGAAAGAGCTGCAGTACTAGAAGAAAGAACAAAAATAGTGATGCCTTCACTTGTAACTTTGATAAGTTGTAACTCTGTGCTGATGATTGCACCTCTCATTGAGATGCTGGCGAAACGTTTGGCAATGTACCAAGTTAATGGTCCGATGCTGGAAATCACGAATACTATGGCTAAGGACACATAACTAGGTACGTTCCACAAGGTCTCCCTTACACTCCGATCAATTTGCGAATACGAGGTCGAACCAACTCTATAGAACTGTAGTACAACTTGGTTGAGAAGCCTTCTTATAAGGTAAAGCTAAGTGAACTTCAGTGACATCATGATG